TCGCGTCCAATCAGGATGGATATTTCCGCCTTTGAGTCGAACGGTGGGATTTCTTTGGCGAGTTCTTGAAGGTGGGGAAATCGCGATACTAATTCAGGTGTTGGAATTTCCCTTTTATCTTGTGGAATGTGGTTACACTCGATCAAAGTGGGCAACTTCGACGATTTACCATCCACCGACGTTGCTATCACTCCAGGTACACGGCGTCCGTATTTCACCTCTTTGGAAACACTGCAGGTAGATAAGAAATATTTTTCTTTTTTACTGTTAATACCCAGTTTATTTGCCAAATCAGGAGTAATCATCGAAGCGTTACTTTGTTCATCCACTAACGCATATACTCTATGGATCTGATCGGGTTTGTCTTGAAGAGAAATGTCCATGAGAACAATTTTGCTGCATGAGAGTCCACCCCTTTTGCTATCGCACAATTTAGTACAGGTTGCGCCAACCTCCTCGCCATCATTTTTGTTGTCTACGTTCTCCCTCTTGTCTCTGTGGAGCAATACCAAGTGGCGATCGCTGTCACACTTCTTACATTTGATTGTAGCTTTGCAGTTTCTGGCGAGGTGTTTATCTTCGAGACATCGGAAACAGAGTCCAGACTTTTTCAGCCATTCTATTTTCTCTTGCAGCGTTTTCTTTTCGAAGACTTTACATTCAGTTAGGGTGTGGCCTTTACTATCATGGAAAGAACAATGTTTCTGATTTGGGTTGCCAGTATTCTCCATTTCAACATCTCCTTTCAGAACTGTGTCCTCTTCGAACGGGTTTCCGAAACTGGATTTCTTCCTTTCGTTTCTTTGGACATCCTTAATCACAACATTTGGATGATTTTTTATTCTTGCCTGCCTTTCCACCAGAGTAGCAAAGATATGAAAGGTTGGGTAAGCATCATAGTTCTCCAAAGCGTAGTCCACGACCTGCTTTTCCCATTTGTTTCGGAGAGATGCTGGTAATTTTCGAAGGATTGGCTGAATAACATTCGCGTAGTTTAAACATCTCAAACCAGGCAATTGTCCTATCTGATAGTCTACGTCAGCACACAAATCGGCAAACTCCTGCAGTTTCTTCTTGTCTTTATCCTCGAATTTAGCTGCATCTCGCAACCGTCCCAATAAGGCGTGTGAAATCGCGGCTGAGTTGCCAAAACGTCTCTCGAGCTCCACCCATACTTCTTTCAGCAGCTTATGTGGATTGTTGTGTTGACGTTTTCGAAAGTTATCGACCAGGTTCTGTGGTGCCCCTTTCGTATACTTATGCAGGTAATTTATCTCTTGTTCCGGTGAAATATCAGCATCACGGATCATTGCCTCGAACGAATTCTTCCATGGGTGGAACATTGTTACGTCACCACTAAAGGTATCGGGATGACACTTCGGTAAGCTTTGACGTACGAAACTAGCTGCCAGTTGTTGATTTGTAGCTGCGATAGCTTCCATACTTTGCTGCACCGGCAGTATTTCCGCTTCCCGTTCCGTTCCGTTTTTTCCCAAAAAATCGTCTTTGAGCGGTGGTACAATATAATTGTCTGCTGCTTTGCTCTTCCGACCAAATATCACGTCTGGATCTAGTTGGATTGTTTCGTCTTGTTCTGGCCCTTTCCGGTGTCGAATTGCTTCATGTCGTTGATCGTACACCCAAGCGCTAGTTCGTTCACTGTTGTTGAGTTTCCCATCTCCCTCAGATAATTCTACATCAGACTGGGCAACTGATTTTCCCTCTTCCTGCTGAATAGATTGTTCGATTGCAGTCAATTTAGCGTTCGCCACAGCTGTTAGTTTCTTTGCCTTGAGCACAGCGATTTCATGATCGTACCTCGCCTTTGCTTCCGTCTTTCTCCGTTCTTCGTCGGCTTCGAACTGTCTCCTTGCAATTTCTTTCTCGGCGATTAACAAGTCGTACTCCGCTTGCCGCTCTGCAGCGGCTACTTCTGCGATGGCTTTCATTCTTCTCGCTGAACTCGAAGACGAAATTCTCGATACCGTTTTACCGGATCGACCCAAACTTTTCGAACCGTTTGCCAAAATATCCTCTTTCTTTTCCTCGTTGTATTTACTAATGGATTTTGCAATTGCATCTCCGGCGAGTTTCATCAATTTATTCCCGGTTGCACGAATCTCTGGTGCCACCTCGTCCGATACACCCCAACGGTCTTTCATAAAAATGTTTCCATATTAGTCACGGCGTCTTGGTATGGCGTAATTATCGTCTCTAATGATCCCAATGCTGCTCCGAGTGACGACGTGTCAAACGCATTGTTCACTGTATCAATAGTCTTTTGTACTCTAATTGACTCCTTCCTGAACGCCGCTACTTTAGTGTCGAGGATATTACAATATCCTTTGTACGTGGGCAGTCTTTCGCGAGCTTCGTCAGGACTCGTTGGTTTCGCCGCTCCTAGCTGTGTCTCAACGTTGAATTCAGATTCCCCAAACTGCGATCGAGAGGCCCCCGATTCTCCCGTTCTTCTAGACATATTGACCCCGACAGTAACTGTATGTTACAAGCTCTTTTACCGCGTTTGGTCCCCGGTTATTTAGTAACTCAATGCTCGATCGTCATTAGGAGACTTTTCACTGTCGCGTCGCGGGCCGAGAACGCAGTGTCAACCAAACGAATACACAGTTTAAATTGATTTAATATAAATGATACATTCTTGCTTAGTATTAAGCTACACTTGATTCTGTATATTCCTGTATATCCGTCGGTGAAAACTATAAATCAATAATACGCTACACTAAGCACACAGTTTGTAAATTCGGGCACGATAAGCTTGTAAATATAGTATGAAATAAATGAACTGACTTACGTCTATAACTCTATGAGATCGAAGTCCTTCAAATTCCCATAAATGATTTCCGTTGAAGTCTTGTAGAGTGTTCCCCGTGTTTTAATTTTTCCCCTCCCCAAAATCCCAAGATCTGGCCTATTTATCTACTCTAGTAGATCGATTAATTATGTATGTATTTAGTCAAGCATGCATTCTACATATTAGCATAACTTCACACTGGGTAACAATTGGGTGACCAGCTTCAGAGTCACGTACGGTCTTGATGGAGTAACGTGGATACCTTACACCAGAAAAGATTTCCCACAAGAAAAGGTAACATCGAAATGAATGATTTATAGACTAATTTTTAAACTAGGCAAGGAGATGCAAATAAATCACCACAGCTAGAAAGAGCATACTAAAATAAGTAAAATTGCAAAGTTTGGTTGCGAAATGTTGTAAAATGCGGAAAATATAGCCTTGCAAAATTTCCAAATTTTGTATACTTTTGTATTGCGCGCGGAAATTCCTACCATTTTCGACCCAAATGTGCTAGCAATTTCCGCACGCAATACAAAAGTATAAAAAATTTGCGAACTTTGCAAGGCTATATTTTCCGCATTTTACAACATTTCGCAACCAAACGTTGCAATTTTACTAATTTTAGTACGTTCTTTCTAGCTGTGGTGATTTATTTGCATCTCCTTGCCTATAGTTTCAAAATTAGTCTATAAGGGGAATTGTGTAATTAATTAGGCTATATAGCTCGGTGTTTTTAGGGTGGGGTTCGATCTTACACTATCGAGTCTTCTAATATTCTTGATATATTTGTTGATAAAGGAAATCTTCCTTGGGGCAGACGACAAAGCGACTGAAGTCATCAGGATCTTGGATCGACCAGTCGTGGCGAGATTTCTCAGAATTCATCCGTTATCCTGGAATGCTCTTCAAATATGTTTGAGGATTGAAATTTATGGCTGTAGTGTTCAAGGTAAGATTTCACTTTTTTATAATTGAGTATTTGAACAGAATTTTGGTACATTGCACTCTCGGTATAAAACGGGAATTTTTATTTAATATCACGTGATCATCATCAACTATAAACGGTCGCTCATAAAAACATTGCCTATTCGCGTGAGAATCTTCAATGTTTATCAAGAACACTTCACAGTTTTTAATCTATTCATCCAATCACGTTCAACCAGATCCACGCTTTGAAACCATCGATCTAATGATCATTCATGATCATCACAAGCATTGAACTTTCTCGGTAAAAACATTGAACTTTGTCATGAGAATAAACAATGTTTTATCTGCGACTGTTCATATCCTTAGTTGCAAGTGAGGGTATTGAAATTGAAACAAATGATAAATATTTAGTTTGTTGTAAGATTATTTGCCTTAATTTCTGGATTTACTGTATAAGTAGTTGCCGCTAGATATATCTTTATAAAATAATGTGGTTAAACTCTTGTAGGATTCGAACAAAATCTAGTCCCCCGATACAAGTATCTTGCGTGGAATTAGATTAGTTGAACAGTTTAAAGGGATATGCAATAAAAATTAATTTTGCCATATTTGAAAGAACTTTTAAAGTTATATATGAAGACCCTTTACAACCTTTTTGTACCTTGCTTGATTTTCGAAATATTTTGACTGCCATCTTGGTATTATAATTGACCTAATTAACTGAGATTTTGATGACGTCATAAGCAGGGTAAACTTGTTAAAACTTCTTCATGTGGGACTAAATTTCTTGGAAAAGATTCTTAAAATGTTGCGAGTTAATTGAGTACTAAAAAGACTTCGGAAAATCGAGTTTCATATTGATAATGACATGTGGTTTGCAAGATAAAAATTTCGC